TAGTTTAGTAAGATTTATGAATTTATTTTTTTAATACATTTTCATTTTCTAAGATAAATATAATAGTAAAGAAAATAATAAATAACAAAATTTAAATTAAATGAATAAAAAAATTTACCAAAGTTTAGACGTGGCTTGGCTCAATTGGAATAGGGCTCGACTACTAAGACAGAGGGCACCTCAGGAAAACTCATTCAAGGCTCGACTTGGCTCAGCTAAGGGTATTGGAATCATGTTGCGAACTGGGTTGCGCAGGAGATAGGGTCGAGTAAAGCAAAACGTGCGCATCTCAATTGGGTTATAGATTCAAAAAGCGTCGTTTCTTTTTTGTATAAAAGCTACAATTTTTTTTGTTTTCCCCAAAATAGCCTATCATCTTCTCTTTCTAAACCTTCTTTTTTCTCTGCCTCTCTCTTTACCTTTAGAACCCAGACAATCAAAAACTAGTTTTTTTCACTGGTTTTTTAAATTTCATCAGAATTTTGCCGAAAACATCAACCTTGATAAAAAAATTCAATCGAAAAATTCAAATATTCATACAATTTTCCAATTTTTTTTCAAAAAATTCAAAAAGAATTACCTAATACAATCTCCTAAAAATTAGTTCAAAAATTCTAAACCACAAACAAAACCTAAAACCATAAACTAATTCCTAAAATAAAAATTCTAAGATTAAAACCCTAAAACTCTTTAACACCTAAAATCCGCTTTAACAATTTTTTACCTCTTCTCCCTATGTGTTTTGTGAATTTAAGCGACATTTAATGACGATGTTTCATCAGAAAACTTTAGGGTTTATTAATTAATAGAGATCAATCTACCAGTATTCGATCCATGCAACTACATGATTCTTGGCCTGTGCTTTAATCCATGCCCTAATCCTATTTGATTGTGGTCAAAGATCTTTTAATTTTTAACTTTGATCGACTCTAGATTTTTGGATTGAATTCCCTAAAAACTTTCTGATTTTCTTTTCTTTTTTTTTTTTAGTTTTTATAAAAACTAAAAAAACAAATAAAAAAATTATTGGGCTAAAGCCCACACCAAAATAAATCATGTACTAGGCTCAAAGCCCAAACAAAATAAAACTATCTGTTGAACTCAAAGCTCAAATACCAATTGGGATAAGTCTACTCAAAGCCTAAAAAACCTAATAAACATTATAAAAGTCTGACGATCCTTATAAAATAGAAATAAAAAAATTCAAATACAAACTCAAATGAAACGAGACCTAATAAAGTTACATTATAAAAGTGTGACGATCCTTATAAAATAGAAATAAAAGATTCAAATGCAGACTCAAATGAAATGAGATGTCTATAATATTCATTCAACATTTAATCCGTAATTAAAATATTAATTTTATAATTAAATGACCAAAATAAAAAGTCATCAAAGGTAATTTACCATCCATTTACTTTACCCTTTACTTTATTGTGTAACTTTCAGTTTTTCCTTCTTGTCTAGATCAATGCAAAAAATTCAATGCCTATATATCTAGAGCTTAGACCAAACCTGTACTAGACCTTAATTATAAATTTAACTTATTTAACTTTGAATCGCTGTGCAAAACAGAGAAGGGAGTAGCAAAATGGATCAACCTAGCTATGACGGCATTTCTGATTTGGGGTTTCATCCCAAACTTCAAATTCATTTTGGTGGATATATTTTAATATATCTTACTTACGTATATTCTCTGTTTGCTAGAACTATAATATGTAGAGACTGCTACGTTAGCTTCATCTCATCCCATTTGGATATTACCGGTTCAAGTGGCTTTTTAAAACATTTTTTTATTAATGTTTGTTTATATTAAATTATATGAATCTATAATATTTGTAAATAAAATTAATTATAAATATATATATATATTTCGTATCTTATATTCTTTAAAATTTGAGTTTCGGTTTGTATTTATTATATTTTAATATTTATGAATTTAATAATTTATAAATCTATGGGATCAATGAACTTAAATAATTATGAATGAATGTATTTAACTATTTATAAATTTATAATATTCATAAACTCAATTAATTATAAATAAATATATTTTGTGTTTATAAATCAAATTCAAATTGAATGAATCTAATTATTAACGAACTAAATTATTCATGAATTCAATTAATTATAAATGAATATATTTATTTTTTAATGTAATTTAAATTTAACATATTTATTAAATCATTACATTAGATCCATGGCATGCTTTGCCGTGCATCGTGTTTGTGTGTATTTTATTAAGCTCTCGTTACTTCAGCGTCATGCGTTTTGCTTCACTTTATAAAAGAAAAAAATAGTTTATCTTGTCTTTTAACTGTTTGGTTTAATGATTAAATAAGCTTTAAAAAAGATATAGGCACGAGGTTCGATCCTAGTCTTTCTCTTCCCTTATTAATGTAGGGCTCTGCCTTCTTAAAATAATAATAAAAAAAAAAACAGTTTGTCTTGAGATTGAAAAGGCAAGCGATAAAAAAGACAATTCCTCAGTACTAGTAGAAAATGGTGAAATCATCATTAAATCATTGGTGAAAGAAGGACTAACGATGATCCTATTCTATAGGAAAAGGAGTAAGAGTCAATCTTCTTTGAATTTCAAGAAAAAAATTGAATAATTATGTCATTTGGTAAAAAGTTTTTACATAAAAAATAATATAAAAAATTTGTAACCATCTCTGATTATGACATTAATTATTTTATAACCATATCACTCTCTGGAAGTTCAATATAAATTATATACAATGTATACCAAATCATTTAACACGAATTGAGAATAAAATAAAGAGATGTGAGCTCTTTGATAAAAACACTTTTATAATAACTTCATCTCGACATCTAACTCGTTTATGCATAAAAATTACTAAATATGTTATACTTAATACAACAAATGATGTTCTAAACTAATAGAGGTATATGAATAGAGTTTAATCGAATTCGGATCAAGTAAATTTATTTTTTTATTTTATTTTTTAAATATCAAAGTTTAATAAAAATATCATTGAATAAAATATTTTTATTTTAAATATATTTAAAATTAAAATAAAGTCAAAATACATTATTGAAATGTGAAGCTTAAAAATCTATATTCAAACTTTAACTGAAGAAGAAAAAGATAGTGGCATAGTGGCAAATGAATTAAGGGTCGTTGGTAGGTATCAAATAATTCAACAAAGCTTTTGATTTTCCTTTCTCTTTCTCTCTCTTCTCAAAATCATTTACCGACGCATGCGCTTTAATTTGTTCTTTTTTATTGATAAAATTAATAAATTTATCCGTTAATTTTGTATATATTATAAATGAATATTTTTGAAAAAAAAATCTTGAATTCGCCTGCCATCATGATCCAAGGAGAGCTGTTTCATTTATTTCTAACCACTCCCGTTGATAAATGCAAGTGCTATCAATTATTTTGAAGATGTCGTTGCCTATGAGGCTAATTGTCACGTGTTCTGTTCAGATCCAACCTAATAGATCCAAATGTAGAGGGAGGAATAGAGTATATATAATTGCATTAGGTCATGTTTGGATATATAACATAATAGAGAGAATAGGATAATAATTATTTTATATTATATTTTATTTATATTTAAAAAAATAAATAGAATTGTAAAGAAAATTAATTATTATCTTAATCAATTCTTTCAAAATAAAAAAATTTATTTTAATTTATAAGATTCAATTTATCTGTGTTATTATATCTTTAAAAATCTATTAATAATTTAAATTATATAAATTTTGAAAAAAAATAATTTTAACTAATAAATAAATTATTTTATCATAATTTTTATATACATCAAATATAAAATAATATAATTTTATTTAATATAATTTTATTTATAATATCATATTGTCTAATTCTATCAATTTTAAGTATCAATCGTATCATAAATATGCTAAATTTAATTTGGAAAATCTCTGCTTGATAAACAAACAAATTTCTTAACAAAGAATGATACAAGTGATAAATTACTTTGAAACTTTTGAGTTCTGACTGCTGATTTCTCTTCTATGTTGGAAAAAAAAAAAAGGAAAAAGGAAAAATGAACAAAAAGATTCTTTTTCTGTGATCATGGGCAAATGATATAATCATGGGGGAACGAAAACTCTTGCTGGTTGTAAGGATCAAGCTTGTTATGGCATGGAGACGGCCCTGAAGGAGGCACTGGCCCTCGAGGCAGCTGGGTGTCGAACAAATGTCCAAAACTTTTAGTATCTTTGTTCATTGGTCGGATGCATCCTCCAATGGAAGCCCTGGCCAGTAACAGAAGAAAAAGAACGACAATAAACCTCAAACGCTTGAAAGATCCCTCTGAAGACCCCATCGTCAGTTACTTCCCTTTTGGTTGTTTCAGGCTTTCAGTTTCAGCTGCTTATGTGTTGTTACAACAACAGAAGTGAAAAAATATATACAATGAAACAGAAAGAGACAGCGGTCGGATTTAAATGCCTATGATTTTCAATGCATAGAATTATTAATCTGCCACTGAAGAATGGATTATCTTTTTCTCTTTTTTATTGCTTAGTTTTCAAGTGAAAGTCATAATTGAACAATCCAATAGCAGCCAATTTAGAAACACAGTGAACATTTATCTTTGAATTTCTGGTTTCCTTTATTTCCAACTCCTTGCAGTCTACATTCTACAAAACAAAATAAAAATTGTAACCAAAGTCTGCTCATTTTTTTGTGCAAAGAATGGAAATTTAGAACGGGCTCTAAAACGCGAATAATATGCACCATCAAAACTGTGAAAGGCCGATCGATCATTGTGGGTCTTTGAAGTAGAGTTCCAGGAAATTTCCCAGTCCTTTGCTTGGAAAATTCCTTGGACTTGTAATTTGCGCCTTGTCCTCCCAATCTGTTATAGGGTTTGGGGTTGTTCTAGGCCCTACATGTTGTTTGCATCCATGGATGGAGCCTATGGGTCAATTAAACAAACGAACCACACCATCAACCCAAAAGAAAATATTTGGCCCAAACCAATATGTCTCATACTTGAGTCGGGAAGAAAACCCATGGATTAGGCTCGACAAGGCTTTAAAAGGATGCCATCTAACTAAAGCCTTGAGGAAAGAGAGGGGGAAAAGTATAGTACCCATTTTTGTAGCGGTGAAGAAGAAAGCCTTGGGTCATTTTTCTCAGAAGCCGTGCCAAATTCCCGAACTTGGGTGCTTTCTATAAATCAATTTTCGGTAAGGTATAGAGACCTTCAATCCACCAATCTTGTTTACATGTTCATTTCTTTTCCTTTTTTTGATTTTTTTGCTCAAATTACTGTAATATCTAAAGCCCTGCCGGGTGATCTCGTAAAAAATAAAAAAAACTTCCTGGAGGCCTTCGAAACATGAAATTTTGATTTTTAATGTGTTGTTTTATTAATATAGCAATTTCGCATATAGTTTTCTGATGCTTCTGTCTGTTACTGGGAGTTATCTGTTAGCAGGTAACAGTTGAAAGCTCACTGGCCTATGAGAACTTAACAGACAAAGAATTAATGCCTGGAATACTTTCTGTTTCCTCAATTGTTTTGCCTCATTGGTGTACAACTTCAAGGTACATTGTTGAATTATAGATTACCCTTTTGTTTAGTAGTTGGTTGAGCCTGATTTTATTTGTCTGGAGTGGTAGGCGTGTTGTCAGAATGGCTGCTGCTCACACTCCAATTGCTGGAGTATCGTTTGAAGCCGTGACAATAAAGCCTCCTTCACACCCTACATATGATTTAAAGGGCATTATAAAACTTGCTCTTGCTGAAGATGCTGGGAATCGAGGTTTGGTTATCATTTGATTTTACAATATTCTTTCTTGCTTTGTTTCCTTTTTCAGTGTTTTCATATTTCATAATCTTTGCTCTACTAAGTTGATAATGATGTTTAATGGTTTTATTGAAAACAATAAGCTAACGCTTTAATGAAGGGGGAGCAAATATTCAGTTAAATCTTTAAATTTTTTCTGCATTCAAATCCTATAACATTTGGGTTCAATTGCAGGGGATGTGACTTGTATGGCCACCATCCCATTTGACATGGAAGTGGAAGCCCATTTTCTGGCAAAAGAGGATGGTATCATTGCTGGAATTGCACTATCGGAGATGGTGTTTCAAGAGGTTGATCCTTCTTTGAAGGTATAGAGGCACTGTACTTTCTGTCTTGGATTATCCATATGGTTTGCGTGTCTGGACCACACACTCCCTCCTTTTGATGTGCATTCTGATATCAGGTGGAGTGGTCTCGAAAGGATGGAGATTATGTTCGGAAGGGGCTGCAATTTGGAAAAGTTTATGGTAAGCCAAAAAGGTGTTTCTTAATTGTGTATAAGAAACTTGTATTAAAATTATATGCTCCCTCCATATAGGAAGGGCACACAGCATTGTCGTAGCTGAAAGAATAGCTCTGAACTTTATGCAGCGGATGAGTGGTATAGCGACACTAACTAAGGTGCTTCCATTTCCTTGAGTTTTATAAATAAAGAAATGATTTTCTCTTAATCATAGCTAAGTTTCCCTATTGTAATCAAGCAAATCTTAGTTTACTTTACAGAGCAGATAACAAGGATGGTTGTAGGAAAACAGGAATTGCGTAAGTTACATTTTAGATTGTTGTGAACTGGAAATGAAAAACAATAAGGTTGACGAGTATCAGTTTTATTTGACCAAACATAACTGCAGGGATATTCTTCTAGAATTTTCAAGTTTTTTATTGCTGCTTATTAAGTTGCCTTGTGTTTCCACCTGTATATATGATCAAGACATAGCTAATTCACAATTTTTAATGGACTAATACTTGTAAAATGCAAATTATATCATGAATTCATTCTTGAAATGCAAATTACATCATGTATGTACGGGAAATATGATAAAGAAACAAGACATGAAATAAAATTCCCAACTGTTTAAACCTATGAATTCGGTCATGAAATGGAAATTGCATCATTTATGCACAGTAAATATAATTAAGAAACAAGATACCTAACAAAAGCTTATTGGTGCCATAACTTTGTAATGCGTACAAAAGACTGTTTTAGAATGTTAATTATTCTGCAGGCAATGGCTGATGCTGCACAACCTGCATACATCTTAGAGACAAGAAAAACTGCTCCGGGCTTACGATTGGTGGATAAGTGGGCGGTGTAGATCATTTCCGAGATTTTACTTTTTAGTTCTTAGTTCTTTCTCTTATGCCTTTGTTGATATTGTTGAAATTTTCTTCTTGTAGGTACTAATTGGTGGAGGAAGGAATCATAGACTGGGTTTGTTTGATATGGTGTTGATAAAGGATAATCATATATCAATAGCTGGAGGAATAAGTAATGCCCTTAGATCTGTTGACCAGTATTTAGAGCGAGAAAATCTTCAAATGGAGGTTGAGGTAATTTCTTCCGATGGTAAAATCTATAGCAAATTAAATATTTTGTGCAGTGGACTAGCCAACAGAGTTGGGTATGAATCTATAAATCTTTATGTGGTACATCATGTATCCTGCAACTTGATTCAACTCCCCGTTTTGAAGCATAAATCATTGCTGAAAAATATGTTTAACCTGAATTTTGTGATTCAATATATCTTGCTTCTAATTAGTAATGCGTCATAGTGGTTCTTCTCCTCTGTGTGTGTGTGTGTGTGTGTGTGTTTGTGGAAATGAATCAATCAGTCAATGCGTTGTGGCAACTGTAACAGATATGTTGAAAAATGTCTTTTTCAAGGTTGAGACCCGGACACATGAGGAAGTAAAGGAGGTGTTGCAATATGCATCTCAAACAAAGACTTCCTTGACCCGGATAATGTTGGATAATATGGTTGTACCTCTTCCAAATGGCGATGTTGATGTGTCTATGCTTAAAGAAGCTGTGGAGCTGATCAACGGGAAATTTGAGACGGAGGTATCTCATGACTTTATCATGTAGTTTTTCACTTCATTTATTTAGTGCCTACAGACTGTGCAGGAAGATACTGCTGATGTCTGCTGTTTCATACTAAATTACTCCTGTTCAGTGATGTGTTAGTTAGAAGGCGTTTGTTCTTTCTTTTTCTTTATTTGGGGGTCATGATGGGGTTTGTGAAACAATGTCTCACTTTATTTGCTTGGCTTTTTGATCTTCAAATATGTGAAACCTGAGCAAAATTATGCAAGAAAGAGTGTATGGAATCTCTTGCTACTTAATTTTTCGAACCATTTCTAAGACGGAATTCATTTTTGGTGACTTGCCTTGTCATTCTTGCTCATGTAAACATCAAGTGCCATCTATGGCTTTACCTGATAAATTCTATTCTAGTTGCTCTACTATGCATTTTTCTGAGGCTTGTAACTGATATATCTATTTCATTGTGATAGGCATCCGGCAATGTTACTCTTGAAACTGTACATAAAATTGGACAATCTGGAGTTACCTATATATCCAGGTAAGGCAGTGCAACTTTTCTTCTCGTAAAGTATATATGCTTGTAGTAAACAGAAAAGCCAAAGTTAGCACCCGGGAATTCGGCTTAGTGGTCAGTGCATGTACCCCCTACTCAAAAGAGCAGGGGTCAAATCCCCCTTTCCCCGACTCAAAAAAGAAAAGTCTAAGTTACCTCAACTTTAGCTGAACCATGGAATTAATTGTCAAGTAAAAATCTGATCACTTCTGAAGCTAGTTCCAACAGTATTAAAAGTTTTTGGAATTCAGTATAAAGATTAAACGTGTTACATGCCAAGCAAGATACTTATCTCCTTTATGCAAACATCAATATCATAAGATTTAAAAAGTGCACTCTAGTGAAAATTGCCCCTACAGCATGTGGATAAGATTTGCCTATGCTAGCCATGTCACTTCTGGTACGGAGGTTGAAAATTATATCCCACATCAATGATCTCTCTGGTTTCAGTGCTCTAATCAGGGTTATCTAGTTGTGTAGTAGTAAAAGTAGTATTCCAGCCTTGCAAGACTCTGATTCTGTGTATTTTGCTGTATGAACAAGCTGTTCTGCATTCTTGCTTCATAAACATTTTTTAATGTGGTACAATTATTAAAAAAAAAAATTGAAAATACTGCACCAAGGATTTTCTGTGTTTATAGAAAAAACAAAATCAGAATTTTAAACTGAAAGCCAGGTGCACACCTGCATTCAAATGCTGATTCTTTTTCATAATAAGTATACTTTTTATGGAAATTGTTTCTGTTAAGGGATAGAAATTACTTGAAGTTATTACTGATTATCACTGATATCAGCTAGTGTGTATGGTATTTGTGGGATGCATGTTTGATCCATTGGGGTGCAGTGAAGGATAAAATGCCTTGGTGCCTAAAAAATCTCTTTAAATTGTTATAGTTTAATCCTTTCATCAAAAGCTCTTTTAAAAAATGCTCAGGATATCCCTACATGGATCACTGACATTTTGGCATTTAGAGGTGCTGTTTTTTTTTAATGGAACTATGTAACTGTAAGGTATCGTAGCAGCAAATTAATAGATGTGGGACTTAAATGTAACAATGTAGAGGTTAGAGATCAAATTTAAACTTTATTTAAAGGTTAGGGATTTATGGTTCATTTTACCTTTGTAATGAACTATATCAATTAGATTTATAGGAGTTAGTGTGGATTTAAAATCACTGGTTTCTTGTTATTGGATTAGGTCCTTCTTTTTACTTTCCAAGTGTTCATACTAATACTTATATACAAATTCATTGGATCTAGATTGCTATTGCATATAGAACTTCGAAATGGTTTCAGATATGCAAGCCACTTTGTTATTGGATTTAAGATGGTTGGGTGATTCACACTTTTTGGTGGATGATACAATATTTTGGGCATGGTTCATTCTCTAGGAAATTTTTTGATATTTTTCTGGCATTTTATGCTAGATTTTGTGCTTCTGTTGTTAGCTTAAGTTATTAATCAACTTGGCTCTAAAATTCTTGGTATGGTTTGCTGCTTCTAATATTTGGGTGTTTGCAGCGGTGCACTCACACATTCTGTTAAAGCACTCGATATTTCCCTCAAAATTGATACTGAGTTGGCACTTGAAGTCGGAAGGCGAACAAAACGGGCATGATCAGTTAATCTTTATGTTGTTAGTGAGCAATAAGAAAGCTCTTTCCCCCCAAAACATATAGAGACAGAAAGAGCATGTTAGTTCCTCATTTCCCTTTCTCTAAGTGTTTTAAAGAATTGATAGACAATAAGCTACCATGTTATAAAAGATATAGAAGTATAATTGTATGCGATGACAAAACTTTAGCTCTTTTGGAATTTGTTCTGCCGACAATCTGGCTGTCTTGGCTTTTTTGCAACCCGATTGTCAAGGGCCTTATTGACAGAAACCAAAATGTCATTCGATATGATGTTATGTTCACTGTGCATTATATGTGCATTTGTGTTTGACATTTTTCGCCGAACCATTCTTATCATTTTAAGGGATGTGAAAGCCATTTTGGATTTTTGTAGAGCTTTCATAAACTGCCCAAATGTGTTGAAGTTGTGCACTATTGTGCTTATGAATCTCTGTTGTGCATTCTTATCCAGAAAACAATGACTCTCTATTGACTATGACTTTTCTTCCTCTAGGATCCAGGTTTTGCAATATGTAATAGTAGTTGGTTTGTTGTTTTGATTCTGTAAGCCAGTTTGGTGTTTGTGTTACTTATAGAATTACTTTTTCACCGTCGTTTTCTTGCAGAATTCAATTTATTTCTAGATTTTGGGATTTTGGTCATTGGCAACATCAGTAAAGTCTAGCTTTAAATGTGTTTTAATTTGGTTGAAAACTTTGACCTTAACATGAGTAGAACAACAACGTATGTGATTTCAAGTTGGAAATTTTCATTTGGTGCATAATTTTTTGGGGCCAAAGTCGGGCACTGTCTGATGATAATATAGCACTTTCAAAGCAGTTTTCTAGCTCACTTTTAAGCTTTACTTTACTTTTAGGTAGTGTTTGATACGAGGTGATCATTGCTTAAATCATGCTGATCTACACATGATGATTAGATTACTACCAAACACTTGGCGATCCTACACGGCAGTTGTTTGGGTTGGAAGACACTAAAATAGACGGCAGTGGAGTTTCTGAGAGGCCATCAGCCACCAATTGCTGTATTGAATCGAATGAATCCCGTATGTTGTAAAAGGCATTTCAGTTGATGTAGAAAGTGTCGCAAATATGTCGGTCCAAGATCAGTTTGAATTCAAACAGACCCTAAAACATCAACAACTTATCTTAAACATAACAGTTCCATTTCCTCCTGTTTCTGAAAACAACATCCAACACCACTTTTATCATCTTAGATTTGAACAATGCACAATTGTTGTAGTTTGAACTCAGCACGCAATAATCTTTGTTATTAAAAGAAAGTATGTAGGCCCTTAGCATGCAATATTTACTTGTTTAAACTACTACAAGAAAATCCAAGAAAGTACCCATAAAATTGTTGGCTGGTCTCTAGTTTAGCTTAAAACATCGATAAGTTAGTCAATAATCGTGCACTGGCATTTAATGGTCACCTTTCTCTTTTTTTCTGCCTACCCAAATAACCCATCAAATGTACCAAATTTCGTCAGCTTCAGCTAGTATTTGATTTAGCCTGCTGCCTTTCGGTTAATTTTCTTTTCACAACATCAAATTTTAATTAGGACTCTCAAATAAAGGAGGCGGAAAGGGCAAAAATAGGGACTGAAGGAGGAATGGTCAAGCTTTCTTAGCCAGCACCACCGACCATGACTAGGTTTTTTCTTTGCTGATCTAACACGTAATGTCTTCATATCAAACAAAGAAAATTTGGAGGTTGTCTATGTGGTTTCTTTTAAATTATCATACCTAAAGCATGTTTAACACAAGCTTTTTTTTTTTTTTTTTAAGATTTATCAACTGCTTTAACTAGACCTAAAAATATATAGAGAATGGACCTCTTCGTGATTCTTTTTTCAATTTTTATATCTTTTTATTTTACTCAAATAGTTTTTTATTCTATGATTTTATCCAAATAAGTTTCGAAACATGTTAAGCATATGATTTTTAAAATAAATCAAGATGTAAGTGGTAGCCTGATAATGTTATTATCATATTTAATTTTATCATGATAATAATTAATTTTAACGTTAATATTATTTTAATTTTATCAAAATTAATTTCATTTTTCATTCAATATAATAATTAAATGTGTAATAATTAAGTGATTAAAAGAGTTGATTTTATTAATTGAATAAATAAATATATCATTTATAAGGAATCAAATCATTGCTATGCTGTTTTAATGGAGATATTTTTTTCTTGGACAATCCTAAGCAATTATATAAACAACCCATGCTGCTTTTGCAAGAGGCAATTGTAAGAAGATCCATACCCTTTTTTTTTTCACCCTGTACAATCAAAGGGAAGCAAGGAAAAATGGGTCAATCCAAAAACTTGCAAAAAGTTGAAATATTTCAACAATAATATGCTTCCTACCATCTCCCCCCCCCCCCCCCCCCCCCCAAAAAAAAAAAGCAATAATATGACGGAATTATATCCTGCATTAACTTTTGATGACTACTGGCCAAAAAGAAAAGAACTTTAGTTAAAAGGATAGCTTGAGTTTTCTTTTTTTTCAAAGAAAAGTACAAAAATCACAATTAGACACCATTTTTATATATCCAATAGAAAGTATCAAAGGGCAATGATAGGGCAAGTAGGCTAGGGTTGTGTGGCCAGGTTCAGTCTCGTCATGTCGATGGGATGATCAAGGAATCCTATTTGCTAAACACAAGCCTACTGTATTGCCGTTGTAGCTCTAATTTCATTGTACAAATCGTTGATATGAATGCACAACAACGTTTTGCTCAAAACTGTGAAGTATTTATGGATGCCAAAGAGATTCTAGTGTTTAACCTTTTTCGTTTAAGGATTAATTATTCTATTATCATAAAAAAAGTGGATGATGACACTATAACATCATGCCAAGGCATTCTTTAGTTAATTTGATGGTTGGATAATAGAAAAAAATAATAGTAAGCAATAAGGCATAATCCAAATGATATATATTCACTATATTTATAAGAAAAATTATTTCATTTGTAATTTTCACAAAAAACGTTGTAAAATATATTTCCTCTATCTCTTTTTACTGTCCCTTTTTTTTAATGTCTGAAAATTATATTATTTTTAAAAATATTTAAAATATTTATTTTTTATATTATAAAATTATTTTTTATGATTTTTTTTACATTAACAATTATGAAACTTTAATTTTATAAAAAATTTAATTTTAATATTAAATATATTAAGATAAAAAAAATTTTCTTTAATTTTGTAAAAATTAATAACGCCCAAACAATTTAATACGAAGGAAATATATACTTTTTAAGATATGTAAAAAATTTAAAATATATATATATCAGTTTCTTAGACTTGTTTATGAAATTAAAAATTTTCATTAATAATATAAAAATAATATTTATAATTACCAACATACAAGAGGGTTAGTTTAGGGTTTTTAACTTGTAAAGAATCAATAATGAAGGCAAAGGAAAGGGTTTGTTTATTCACTACAATTTAATTTGTAGAACAAAAGGAATGCATAAGTGGGGCCTTTGTAGCCCTAATTTGACAAGCAATATTATTATTATTTTTTAAATGAAGGAAAGTGGCATGGGTTCAGCATACTCCAACCATACCAAAAGTAAATCCAAAAAAAAAAAAAAAAAAAACCATATTCTCACATGGAGGTGAGTCATAAAATGATGATGATGAAGAAAATTGTGTACGGGCGGCTCCGTCTACTCTTGTCCTTTTGCTTTAAGTGACTGCACTTGTGTAGAATGATGTAATTTGCAATTCTGTGGAAGGGAATCTAGTGACTCATAGCAGCTCCCAAATTTGGTCACATTGTAAGAATTTGCGGACAACATTCAAGAACATTAATATTTTGTATGCTTACAATATCCATTATTTTTTAACCACAATTAGTTTATTTTTTATTTTCAATGAAATTGGAGTTATATAATCATCATATGCTTGAAAAGCATCGATGTTGGATTTTTTAAATTTCATAAGTAAAATTAAAATAATATTAATATTAATATTAATCCTAAAAAATATTCATTACTTGTAAGTTTGTATATTTTGTTCATCATGCTATAGTTTTTTTCAACAAAATAATGAGAATTTTTGTTTATATTATAATATTATAATAATGACCAAGGGGAATTACGTCAGATTTTTTTTTTGTATTGAATAGATTACAGAAATGAACAGAAAAGAAAAAAAAAACCATAGAAAATGCCAACGGCATCTTTCGGCACACCTCGGCACACGGACACTGCAGATGTTGTCTTCTCAGCAACCAAATGCCAAACTAATGCTACCAAACCCACCTTACCTGTAAAAATGCTCATGGCACATGCCATACCATACCACTTTTTTTTTTTTTTTTGTCATTTTAGAACATGTATATTCGGGTCGGATTTATTTCTCAGATTTCGATATATAGCAACTCATGTAAAAAAAAAAAATCAAATAATTACCATATTTATGATTGCAAAATTGGAATAGTTGTCAACTTTTAAGTGTAGAATGATGTGGATCTATTAGACTTTATTGTAGTACAAAACAAGACTATGGAAGATTATGATGCTTTTATAACTAAAAAAAGTTCAAAATTAGTTCAGATTCTGCTTGGAACACTAAGAGATACTCTCCTATTTTATAACTCTCTCATTTTAAGACTTGAATTCAAGACTTCAAGTTGTAAAGTTTTTTTTTTTTTTTCCTTTTTGATGTTTTAAATTTAATTATTGATATGCTTATATTATTTTAAGTACATGCGAAGATCCTTGAACTTTTTGAATAAAAAAATCCATTGAGCTTTTGGTTTTACAAAAAAAATTCACATCCAATCTTTAAAGGGTGGAATCCCATGTTAAAGTACGAAGGCTGAGTCATTGCCTACTTGAATTTTTATTATAAATATTAATGCAAGTATTTAAAATTAATTATATATAATTTATATATCATACATGATTGTCTTATCAATGAATAAAGTTAAAAATTATATTATTACTTAAATTCATTTTGTAAGTCTTTATAGTAAAAATTCCTAAATTTTTATTTTTATTCATTAATGATGAAATTGCATCTTAGTAATTTACTAATAATATATAAATTCATAATTTACAATATTAAGTATCTATCTAATGTGCAAATATTTGAAATATGAGAGATTTATTATCTTATAAAATTCATACGAATCTAAGTGTCATTTAAAAGACTAATGTAGTGAAGGTTCTCCTTGGGGGTTGACAATGGGTCAGGTTGAAGTGGGTTTTTATTCATCACGAATTTAACTCGACTTAATATTCATAAAATTTAAATTTGATCTAATTTTTTTATTTTTTATATTTGAATTCGATCTACTCCGATATTATATAAATCGTAATCAATTCAATCCAAAATTAATAAAATATATTTTTTAAATATAAAATATTATTTTTTAAAATATAAATATAAATTATTATATAAATATATATAAATAAAAAATTAAATAAAATTAAAAAATAATTTTTATAAAATATTGAGTTGGATTTACTTAAATCCTGAACCTGACTCAATTCTCATTTTTTCTTAACATTATCCAACCCAAAACTCAATTTAAAAAAAAAAATCTTATAAGATCGGATCAAATCAAAACTTGTAAGAAGCGAGTTAAACTGCTAATCTTGATTCTCTTTCATGATACTTGTGATCATTCAAAAAAATTCTAAATATAAATTCTTTTTGAATTTATAGGTTGAAAATTTTGTTTATAAAATAAAAAAGGTTTCCTATCAAATAGAAAAAGTTAAAATATTAAAAAATCTCATGAGTTATTTTTTTAATTAAATTTTGATATTTTTATTAGATTCAAATAAAATTTTATTTTAATAAAAAAATTAAACTTGAATTGTTTTGTCTATATAGAAAACTGACGTGACCAAAATTTTTTAAAAAATATTTATTAAAGAATATAATATATATTTTTATTTTTTGGTCTTTCCTCGTAATTGGAAATCAAAAGTGAGAATCAGAATGAGAGAGAGAGAGAGAGAAAGAATGAGAAAAAAGAATTGATAGATTTTTTTTTTTTTTTAATTTTCAAGAACTTGTAAAATGATTTTGGGGAAATCGGGTCAAAAATGACCTGCCAACTTAACTCAGTTGAAAGCCCAAATTCTAGACGTTGTTAAAGGAGCGTGAATTACACGCAAGTAGAAAAAGCGTATTAAAGTTAGTTAGTTAATAAAAAATGAAATTCAAAATCTCAAATATGTTGCAGCTATTATATTTTATTTAAATAAATAAAAGAAAGATTTATTTATATTAGTATAAGTTTTATTTTTTTAGATTAAAATGATTAAAATAAAAAATATTATTT